ACTTTCTTTGTGGTTACCATGAATTTTACCCTTATCTTTCTAAGTTTGAAGCAGTCTACCATTACTTGGTATCGCCTTGCCTTCCTCTCCACTAGAAGGTTCTATACCTATGCCGTTTATTCCTTCTTTAATTGTTTTGATGTTGTTGTCATTTACTGATTAAGTGCTCTGATTCCCTGTTGTATTCTTTTGGTTTTGGATAGTCCTCGAGAGTTCATTTCCTAGATTGGCTCCTGGGGTTTTTGATGGCTGTAATTTTACAGCAGTAAATCATCAGGCCTATCTTTCCCAGTGCTGCTTGTTGGATTTGAACTGTCAACTTTTTGGTTAGTAGCCAAGTGCAAACTGTTTGCACCACCAGCGACCTTTACTCTTCCTAATGATGTCTTTTTTTAAATTGGGAGCCTTCTTTTTATTTTTTATTTTATTGTGGTGGAAAATATATAACAAAACATTTGCCATTTCAACCATTTTTATGTATACAATTCAGTAACATTAAGTTCACTGTGTTGTGCAACCATCACCACTATCCATTTCCAAATTTTTTCATCACCCTTAACAAAAACTCTATCCCTTAAGCAATAACTCTCCATTTCCCCCTCTTACCAGCTCCTGGTAGCCACTAATAAACTGTAATCTTTATGCATTTGCCTATTCTAGATATTTCATATAAGTGGGATCATACAATATTTGTGCTTTTGTGTCTGATTTAACTAGCTCAGCATAATGTTTTCAAGGTTTTTTCATGTCATGGCATGTATCAGAACTTTATCCGTTCTTACAGCTGAATAATATTTCATTGTATGTATATACCACAATATGTTTATCCATTCATCTGCTGATGGACACCTGGGTTGTTTCCACCTTTTGGCTATTGTGAATAGTGCTACAATGAACATTGGTGTACAAGTATCTGGTTAAGTCCCTGCTTTCAAGTCTTTTGTGTATATACCTAGGAGTGGAATTGCTGGTCGTATGATATGATAATTCTATGTTTAACTTCTTTTTTTGGGGGAACTGCCAAACTGTTTTATAATCCCATTTTATAATACCACCAGCAGTAGAGAATGGATCCAATTTCTCCTTGTCCTGACCAACACTTGTTATTTTCCATTTTTCTGATAATAGCCATCTTAGTGGATGTGAAGTGGTATCTCATTGTGGGTTTGATTTGCATTTCCCTTATGACTAATTATGATGAGCTAGTCACATGACCAAGCTCAATTTTAATGTAGGAGGGGATTACACAAGTGTCTGAATACTAGGTTGTATGGTTAATTAAAACCAAACCAAACCTGATGCCGTCCTGTTGATTCCGACTCATAGCGACCCAATAGGACAGAGTAGAACTGCCCCCTAGGGTTTCCAAGGAGCGTCTGGTGGGTTTGAACTGCCAGTCTTTTGGTTAGCAGCCAAACTCTTAACAACTATACCACCAGGGTTTCCGGTTTGGGCTCATAGTGTCTTATTTCTTCATGTGTCTACTTACCTTTGATTTTGTGGCAGACATTATATTTTAACAACTATTTTTTGAAATAATTTGAGGCTTTGGATGATGTCTTCTTTTCAGAAGATTTTTGTTTGCTTCAGTTGTGTGCCTGGGGGTACTATCAGCCCAGGACCACCTTAATCCAAGTTCAATGCATGAGTCTCCTAGGGGTTGTGAAGCCAGGGTGCAGTTGTGTGAGGGTTGGTTTAATTTTTGTTTACCCCTTACTGCTTGGGAATAGCCCTTCATGTCCCAGGCCCAAAGCAGTGGTTGTTTACCAGAATTCTCACTCTTGGTGGATACAGATTCTAACTTTTGTCCTCTTAGCCCCAGAAGCCACCAAAAGGGAAAGAGCTACCCTGAGTGATGGGTTTACCTCTCTGGGTTCCAGTTCTCTCCCAAATCTCCTAAAAATTCCTTATCTTGCTACCTCTTTGTTGCTTTTAAGAGGATCTTTTTTAAAAAAATTTTCATTTGGTTTTAGCAGCATAGTTGGCCTTAATTTTTGGTTCGAAAACCCAAAATCCTTGCCAATTGTATTTTAAAAAAATAGACTTTATTCTTAGAGCAGTTTTAGCTTACAGAAAATTGAGCAGAAAGTACAGAGAATTCTAACTAATGGACCACAACTACCACAGCCTCCACTAGACTGAGACCATCACAACTAGATGGTGCCCGGCTACCATCACCGACTGCTCTGACAGGATCACAATAGAGGGTACCAGACAGAGCTGGAGAAAAATGTAGAACAAAATTCTAACTCACCAAAAAAGACCAGACTTACTGATCTGACAGGGACTGGGGAAACCCCGATAGTATGGCCCCTGGACACCCTTTTAACTCATACTGAAGTCACTCGTGAGGTTCACCCTTCAGCCAATGATTGACACGCCCATAAAACAAAATGAAACTAAATGGGCACCCCAGCCCAGGATCAAGGATAAGAAGGCAAGAGGGGACATGAAAGCTGGTAATGGGGAACCCAAGGTCGAGAAGGGGAAAGTGTTGACATGTTGTGGGGTTGGCAACCAATGTCACAAAACAATATGTGTATTAAATTGTTTAATGAAAAACTAACTTGCTCTGTAAACCTTCATCTGAAGTACAATAATAATACAAAAAAGTACAGAGAATTCCCATATTCTCCCTCCCCCCCTCCCCCATACACAGTTTCTCCTATTAACATCTTATATTAGTGTGGTATATTTGTTACAATTGATGAACCAATATTGATACATTATTATTAACTAAAGTCCATAGTTTACATTAGAGTTCATTGTTTGTGTTGTATAGTTCTATGGGTTTTGACAATGCATAATGTCATCAGTTCACTATTACAAAATCGTATAGAATGTTTTCACTGCCCTTAAAATGACCCGTGCTCAACCTGTTTATCCTATTTAAAATTCATTTATTTTGGAGACAGTTGCAGTAAGTTTTAGCTGAATGTGTAACCATTTTATTTTATTGTTGCCATTAGTAATAATTGTGTGGTTTAGTGTAGAGACTGATATGAATGGGCTATAGGTGTGCTGTGATACTGATCGCCTTAGCCCTGGGGTTGACTGGTGGAGCATGGTGTTGATGAAGCCCCCTGGGTTAGTTGCCTTCACCCGCAAGCAGCTTCTTCCATTTATTCCAGAGCCTTTTATTATCCTTTTCTGTGTATGCAGAGTCCCTGGGTGATGCAAAAGGTTAAGCTCTTGACTACTAACCTAAAGGTTGGTGGTTTGAACCCACTCAGAGGTTCCTTGGAAGAAAGCCTTGGTTATTTGCTTCTGAAAGGTCACAGCCATGAAAACACTACGGAACGCAGTTCTTATGGGGTCGACAGGAGTTGGAATTGACTCGATGGAACTGGTTTTTTGGTTTTTATGCCTGTAATGAAATGTTGGAAAGTACAGAGATAAGTCAATCCCCTAAGGTTTAAAAAATCCTTGCCAAATTATGGTATAAGTATTCATTCACTTTTTTTATTGGATATTTATTTAACATCTAATTTCTGTATGTAGGTTACTGGCTAAGGGCATTAAAAGAGGTGTAAGACATAATGTCTTACCTAAGGACTTTGATAGTTTAGTCCACAATAGCGTGAGTGGGATACATTTAAATACCATCTTTAAGTATGGTATTTACTGTGGGAAACACAGTAATGACTTAGGGAGTTGGGACAAGAGCCCTTGACTGGCTTATTCAGAGAAGTCGTCAGGTTGGATAGGGAGTTTTAGTGGGGTCTCAAAATGTGGATAGGCAGCCTTGTATTCTCAATGTCAAATTTTACTCCAGCATGCACACTTCTATTTTTTTAATAACAGAGAAGAATTTGAGGTATGGGCACCTTGGATTTCTGGGTCTGATCAAAGCAGCTCCACTACTGAGTGGAATAGAAGGAGTGAGGGAAGGTCATATTGGAGAGGTTCAGTTAATGTGCTCAGCTGTTAACTGAAAGGTTGGAGGTTTGAGTCCACCCAGAGGTGCCTCAGAAGAAAGGCCTGGCAGTCTACTCCTAAAAAAATCAGCCAAATTTTATGACAACTGTTTCATTCCCAGGTAAAGTACTGGTCAGGCACTTCTGACTGACTTGCTCTCTCTTACCTTCTTTTCCTTACACTTGTTTTAGACCTTTTGACTGTGTCCAACTCATCTCTTAAGCTCTGTTCTAGTTTTCTTTTTCCATTGTTTTTCTCTGTACCTTAGTTGTGATATTTTCTATTGACTTGTCTTTAAATTCATTAACCCTACCTTCTCTGTGTCCAAGCTGACATAAAATCCATTCAATGACTTCTTCATTTCAGGTATTGTATTTTTTAGTTCTAGAATAACCTTTTGATTCTTTTTTAAAAATTCCATTTCTCTAATGAAATGCCACATTGTCATCCATTTTATACATAGTCCCCTCTATTTTCTTTAAACATACTAATCACAGTTATTTAAAGATTCCTGTCTTGTAATTCCATTATCTGACTCAACTGTGGGTATGTGTCTATTGTCTATTTTTTCCTCTTGATTTTTACTTTAATTTTCCTGTCTCTTTGTATGTCAAGTACGTATTGGTTGTGATTTTAAGTTTCTTAAATGTTCTCTTCTACCAGAGATAATTCCCCCTTTTCCCTATGAGGTAGATAGGGTGAGGACTAATCACCTTGATTCAATCAGAGATTGAGCTCTTTCAGGGCTGGCTTACAGTTTTTTATAAGATCCAGTCCTAGTTCATCCCCAGATCCCATTTGATTGCTAGCCTTGTGCATCTTGTCCCCACACCCAGGGATGGATTACCCAGTAAGCAAAGTACATGCGGGTTTTTCACCACATCAAAGATGTGAAATTGTGCTCTACAGATTAGTAAGTAAACACAATTAAACCTGTGCGTGCCTTGCTTACTGGTTAATCTTCCCCTGCCCAAGTCATGAGAAACTGTGGAAGATTCAGTTCTGCCTTTTTGAAGTTTTAAACTTTACTTTTTAACCTTCTGCCTCATGCAGCTTAAAAATTTAGCAGATGTCTAGAGAGGAAGATCAGCTATGTGATTAGACTAAGGCCAGTCCTTTCTCCTTATGGGATTAGTCTCCTAAGTAAAATAGATTATGAGAAATTTCACTATGCCTTTTAGAAGCTTCTAGATTAGCTCTCCATCCACCTATATAGTTCCTCAGAACTCAGCAAATGCCCCCGGGGCAAAACTGGCTGTGCGTTTGGGGCCCCTGAGTTTTCAACCTGGCATGCCAGTCCTACATGACTGCCAAAGCATTGCTGGTTTCTCTTCCCCTGGAGACTCCCTCTGCCTGACCAAGCCTGGCCTGAAATTGGCAAACACTTCCAGGAATGTCAATTTATTCCTGAAGGGCTCTCCCCTCTCTGGAGTTGTTTCCACAGCTACCCAATGTCTTTATATATATATATATATATTTGTAAATATTCTGGCTTTTTCTAGTTGTTGCTGCAGGAGAATTGGCCTGCTGCAAGTTTTTAAATCCTACACAAAGTGGAAATCCTGTTATGCTTTCTTGATATTTCCATTTTATCCCCCATCCTGATTTTTGCTGAAATAACCAACTCTATTTTGTTTGTTTCCCCTAGTGATTTGTAGGGGTTTTTTTCCTTCATTTTAAAAAAATTTTATTGTGATTTAAGTGGAAGTTTACATGGCAAATTAGTTTCTCATTGAACAGTTAATACACAAATTGTTTTGTGACATTGGTTGCCAACCCTGCAATGTGTCAACACTCTCCCCTTCTCCATCCCAGTTTCCCTGTTTCCATTCGTACAGTTTTCCTGTTCCTTCCTGCCTTCTCTTTTTCGCTTTTGGGCTGGTGTGCCCATTAGTCTCATAGACATGGTTGAACTATGAAGCAGGAAGTGTGTTACTGTTGGCCCTACAGACCTGTCTGATCTTTGGCTGAAGGGTGAACCTCAGGAATTACTTCAGTACTGAGTTAAAAGGGTGTCTGAGAGCCATACTCTCAGGGTTTCTCCAGTCTCTCTCAGACCAGCAAGCCTGGCCTTTTGTGTGTGTGTGTGAATTTGAATTTGTTCTACATTTTTCTCTTTCTCTGTCCAGGACCCTCTACTGTGAGCCCTGCCAGAGCAGTCAGTGGTGGTAACCAGGTACCATCTAGTTGTGGGCTCAGTCTGGTGGAGGTTGGGTAGTTGTGGTCCATTAGTCCTTTGGACTGATCTTTCCCTTGTGTCTTTGGTCTTCATTCTCCTTTGCTCCAGCTGGGATGGGACCCAGTAAATGTATCTTAGATTGATTTGGAAGTTTTATGTGTTATTTCTGTGCTAGTCATGGTTCCTTTACCAATTTTAACAAACATATTATTATTTAAACATAATTACATAACTCCTCATCCCCTAACAAGGCTTTTTTTTTTTTTTTAACTTTATTTCCTTTATCTTCCCTCCCCACTCTCCAGCCTTTGTTGTCACTGTGGTCTTCCTCCCTTTAGTCTCATCCTCTCCTATCCATCCTCTCCCTACCACCAGAGTGATCTTTGAAAGTGATTAACACTCCCCAACTGAAAACTCTCCACTGGCTTCCCACAGCCCTTCTAATAAAGTCCAGACTCCTTAACAGCCCATAGGGTGCTATCTGGGCACTGCCACTCCTTCTAGCTTTATCTCAAAAATACCCTCTCCCTAAAAAAATAAATATAAATAAATTGCAAAGATCTCTCGGTCAGGTTAGCATGCTTACAAGTCCCCTGACCTGCCAGGTTGTTTCATGCCTTTGCTCACTTGTCCATCGCTGGCCATTCCAGTACCAGACAGAGAGGGAGTTACCACAGTGCAACTCTACATCCTCCCACTTGCCTTTCCCGCCAGCAGCAAGCCCTTGAGGGCAGGAACTGTCTTATTTATCTTGGTGTTCCCAACACTTAGCTGGAACTTAGTAGATGGTGCGTAAATGCTGGTTCAATGAACAAATGGAGGAGGGGGGAGGCTCATTTCTCTACATGGGCTGGGCTTCACAGGCAGCCTCTGAGGACACACACAGAGGGTGCCTCATGTGACTACCTGATACAGAGTAAGTGCAGTGCAATAGGTCACTTTTGTGTGGCCTTTCTAGCCATGGTCTTGTAACGCCCACCCATGTGATTGGGTGGGACTGTGAGATAGGGTAATTGTAGCCCACCAAAGGGATTGGTCAGTTTTGCCATCCAGCTGGACTTGAAATGAGCCACCCCGGAGGTGGGAAAGAGAAGATCCCACCACCACCAAGGAAGAACAGCCAAGAGCCAGCATGTCCTTTGGACCCGGGGTCCCTGTGCTGAGAAGCTTCTGGACCCAGGAGACAGAGAGAAAGCTGTAACACTGAAGACAATGAGAAGTGGCGACAGAGACCTGGCAGCAGGAGACAGCATGGTGGGTTTCCCAGCCCACAGAGGAAGAAAGCTGAGTGCCTTTGGGCAGAGGAAGGGAGCCAGGCAGAGGTGTGTCTGCAAACATGGCTGGAAGAGGCTCTCCTGGTGGAAGAACTGTATCCTGAGTGTTCCTGAGCCTGAATTGTAACCTGTTACTTCCCTAATAAACCCCATAGTTGTGAGAATGGTCTGTGAGTTCTGTGTGGCCATTGCAATGAATTATCGAATCCAGCAGAGAAGTAGAGAGTGCTGTGGGAGGGATGGTTGGTGTCAGAATTGGTAAAGATGGTGGAGAGAGGAGACATGTCTGACCTCCGCCTAATAGGAATCAACCTTGGGCTGTTGATCTTGATTCTTCTTTCCCCTTGTGAAGTTAGAGAAGGTCAGACACTGCCCCCATACCATTTTTACAGTGTAAGAAAAGGACTTCAGGGCAAGTTGGCTATATTGATGGGGACAGTTTGATTACAAAAAACAGACCTCTGCTCAAGCACATGCAAAAACGGGGGTGGGGGCAGGGAGGGGCTGTGTATGTTAGAAAGCACCAGTGTGTTCTGGAAGCCGTGGCCAAGAAGAAAGCCAAACTGCTTGGGGGACCAAGAGGCCAGCCCCTTCCTCTTTGGGACTATGTGGCTTTCATCATCGCTTCTCTTTGTGAACCTGCTTCATTTCTCATTCCCTGCACACCGGGTTTCTCATGTGTGTGCTGGCAAATGATGCCCCAGCCCTGCCTGGCTTTCTGGGTGAGCACTCAGAAGCTTCCCAACTACAGCTCAAGGATTGAGGCTCTGATCCCCTTAGCTTGGACCAGATGCCCATTGGTGGCCCACTCAGCCACCACCAGAAGGGTCCATGACTCACCATCTCCTTAAGGGTTGTACCAGCAGGGGTGGGGGCAGGGCAGACGGATTGACTAACAGTCCCCAAGTGATGGTGTCTATTCAGTCTTTCCTTTTCATGAGAGTATTAAGTTCATTAAGTTTCAGACAATTAATGATACAATTCGGTATGTACTGAGCTGAAATAATTCTTTCTTTGCAGACCTGAAAAGCTAACCTGTGTAGAAAAGAAACATCTGTCTGATAAAGAGAAAAAGACTACAGACCTAAGTCAGACTGCTTTTGAAAGGCAGTTTCATTTCTCAAAGCTCAACCAGGAGAATAAAAAGGATGAGAAGAAGAGTCCGGTGAGCAGAGGTCCGGGGGGAGCAGGGGCCAGGACAGCACAATTTTGCAGAGCCCACAAGATAGCAACATTGACTCCCAAATCCCAGCCATTGACACATTCGTCCCTCCCTGTCTGGCTCTTGCTGGCACAGGAGGCAGCAGTCAAAGAAGAGAGTGAGAAAGAGGAGGCAGAAGGGGGCATTTGTTTTACTCAGAAGAAATGATGGGGTTGTTCTGGGCTTGATGTGGCTGCATAGGTGGGGCACCTTTGGCAGGGAAGCCTTATGTGAAGAAACTCAGGGAAGCAGGAGACTGTGGCTGTACCATCCCAGGCTATCTGCCGCATGTGGAACTGTGGGGAATCCTGGCCAGTGCGAAGCAGGCCTTTCTTTTTTTTTTTTTTGCCTTTTCTGCCATTTTTCTGGAGCTCTGGTGGTGTAGTGGTTAAGAGCTTGGCTGCTAACCAAAAGGTCCGCAGTTTGAATCCACCATCCACTCCTTGGAAACCCTCTAGGGCAGTTCTTCTCTGTCCTATAGGGTCACTATGAATAGTAACTGACTCAATGGCAATGGGTTAGGGTTTTGCCCTTTTTCTACAATTTACTACTTATGACATCCAAGCCAGACCAAAATTTCATTCTCCTTAGTTCAGCCACAATAGGTGAGAATTTTTTAGAAAGGAATTTATACTTAAAAAATTAAGGGCAAAGTAATAGTCCAGCTATTAAAAAGGCATTTTGTATCCACGCAGGAATTTTCCGAGCACACGTTTCTCCAGAGCTCACAATTTGGCTGACACAACTCACAGCTCATGGTCTGAGCACATTTCTTTCTCCCTTCCATCCTCTCTCCCTCACCCTGTCACCTAAGGCCTGAGGTTTAGGACCCTTCCAGGGCAGGCCGTAGGGGGCTTATAGTGCCCCCACTTGGTAGTTAATCAGTTGATAGCCTGCTTTGAGTGCACAGTGGATCTTTGCATTTCTCCTTTCACCAACTATTTACACACACACACACACACACACACACACACAGAGGATGAGGAACAATTCCTTCTCTCTAGCTTGAAAACCTTGTTAGATGTTTTTGTGACTTAACCTACCTGATCCCATTGTTGCCCCCAGTCTCAGACAGGAAAGGATTCTCCTCATGTGATAAGTTACCACCACTCTAGAGTGTTTTCCTATAGCACAATTCAATCTGCGAGCACAAAGGAGCCCCTTCATCAGATCTTCATATGGCTGTCATTAGCCCAACCCTTATGTTGGTTAGCAGCTGAACTCTTGACTGCTATGCCACCAGGGCTCTACCCTTAGGTTAGGTTGGGCTAACTGCTGTTACCATAGATACAAAAAATGGATAATGGCTTAACCTCAGAAGTTTATTTCTTGTACCAGCACTGGGTGGGCCAGCAGGCTGCCCCTTTCACGCAGTCTTTCAGGACCCTGGGTGATGGAACCTTTCTCATCTTCAGAACCTAGCTTCCAGGGTTGGCCCAGGGGACTCATTCCTGTCAACCTAAAAAGGGAAGAGATCACGGAGGGGTTCTGCCCTGGGAGGTGTATATGGGCCAGCCTGGAGGTGGCAAATGTCACTTCCTCTCATCTTCTAAATGGCCATCTCTAACTGTGGAGCCCTGATAGTGCAGTGGTTAAGAGCTTGGTGGCTAACCAGAAGGTCGGCAGTTCGAATCCACCAGCTGCTTCTTGGAAACCCGGTGGGGCAGTTCTACTCTGTCCTATAGGGTGGCTATGAGTTGGAATCAACTCCACAGCAATCGGTTTGGTTTTTCTGGTTGGTCCCTAACTGAAGGGGGTGGGGGCACTGGGAAAGTAGTCCCTGGCTGGTCTGAGCACCATGGTAGGGGAGCGTGCATTTTGTGGACAGCTAGTTCTTTCTGCCGTCCATGACGTTAGTACTATGTGGAGTCCAAACATATTGAAGGCCTTGTCTGAGAGTTGCTGAAACCAAGCAGAGTGAGAGAGAGAGTTGGTTAGGATCCTGCTTGAAAGGCGAGTGTCTCAGCTCCAGGAGGAGGACTGAGTGTGGGGTGGGATTGGGGGGTGGGGGAGAGTTCTTCCCTGCTCCTGTAAGCCCCTCATCCCTACACCATACTCAGCAATTCTCTTCTGTCAGTAGGTTTTAGGAGCCCGAAAGCAGAGACCCCGATCCTGGGCGGCTGGGGAATGCCATCGTGGAGGGGGTGCGCAGCCTGTGGAAAGAAGAGTCATGACAGCAGAGGTCCTGGCGAAGCACCTGGCCTCACTGCAGCTGGGGGCCGGCCCGGGCAGCTACGAGTTGTGCCAGTTCTAAGGAGGTGTCCGTAATAAAGCTTCACTGAACTTCAGTGTGTAGTGGCTAGACATTTAAAATACTGCAAACTCGTCCCCCTCTTCAGAAGCCGAGATATTTTAAGAAATGTCCAAAAAATAATAGCTACTGTTTATTGAGCCCCTGTTGTGAACCAAGAACTGTGTGAGGTATTTGATATTCATTTAAACATTTTAACAGCAACATCATATTATTATCCCCAATACAGGAAGCTCAGGGAGGTTCAGTGACTTGCCCAAGGTCAACCCCATGGCTTGAAAATGACTGTGTTCTGTTCCAATTCTGCTCCCTCTGGTGCGAGAGCACACGCTCATTCCACTAGGGTACCAAGCAGTCTTTGTAATGTTGCCACACTGCTAAGAATTTGGATCCCTTCAGGAGGTGTTGTTCCCCCCTAGTTCCCCACGACATCTGATCTTGAAGAGCACGGAGGGCTTGCTGGGGACGCCTCACCAGAGGGGAGGTTTCCGGGACATGTGAAGCACATCTGCTCAGCCCCTCCCGTGACTCTAACCTGGTCATCAAGGGTGTGCCCTCCTCCCCTCCCCACGCCCACCAGGAAAGCACCTCACAGTGCAGTCAGGAGACAACTTGATTTCTTAAGGGGTGGACCTGTGTTCCGAAGTCAAAGGAGTGACTGGGGTTGCTGAGTGTTCTGATGTTAAATAGTCTCCACAACATCATAGACGTTGTCTGACTCAGATCCTGCAGGCTCCCAGAGACTGCAGTTTAGGTTGTCCTAAATATGACCAAAGAACCCTGAAGTATCTAGAGACAAAGAAATGGCATTAGCCATAGTTCATGCTAGTGAGAATTATAAGTCCTCATACTTCTGTGAAAAGGACTGTTCTGTAGCTATGATCAGAACTGGTTTTAGACCTGCCAGCGATTACCTGCTAACGGAAAGGTCAGCGGTTCAAAACCACCAGTGGCTCTGCAAAAGAAAGATGTGGCAGTCTGCTTCCATAGAGATTTACAGCCTTGGAAACCCTACAGAGTCGCCAGGAGTCAGAATCGACTCGACGGCGGTGGGTTTAATCCATCAGTGGGGCCCTGCTGGCACAGTGGTTAAGAGCTCATCTGCTAACCAAAAGGTCAGCAGTTCGAATCCACCAGCTGCTCTTTGGAAACCCTATGGGGCAGTTCTACTCTGTCCTATAGGGTCCCTATGAGTAGGAATTGACTTGACAGCAATGGTTTTGGTTTTTGAATCCATCAGTGACAGCCTCATGCTTTGAAAGTCAGCCAGTCAGAGGCAGATTCCCTGGCACATCAACCACACCTGCCTCCTCATAGCCAACAAAAAACACCCTTCCCAAACCCTACATAAGACCAGCAGTTTGCTTTGTTGAAGGCCTTTCCCTTAAATGATATGTTAAGTGTGTTGGTTTCAGATACTGAGTGGTGTCTCCTCCTTTGATGCTGGTGTGTATTTCTCTTAGGTCTGTGTTTTAACCAATCAGTGCCAAGGATTGATACTTGGGATGAGTAAGTGATGGATTTAAAACAAAACAAAAAAAAAACGTCTTTGAACCTACTGAACTTTAATGTCCAGCTCTTCTTTGCCCAGTGATGATGTTTATACAGAAATAGGGGCCATGGTGGAGGCCGAGCCCTTGGGACACTGGATCCTTCCCGCACCTCCAGCTGCTCTGAGAAGACCTGCCCTTTTGGAATCAGGGATCCTGCAGCCTGAGGGGTTCCTTCTCAAAGAGAGCTCTTCCTCCAGCTTCGCTTCAGGGACTTAATGTATAAGACCTTATTTTTATCAACATTCAAAAAATTTCACATTTCAAAATTCAGAGGCTGAACAAGAAACTCTGATAGGTCTGGGGACAAGGAGCCAGAAGGAAAGAGACGGGTGTTTCCGGAGCTGGGGTCCTAATGCACCTGATGAGTGATGCTCACTCCTTGTGCATTTTCTTTACTGGGACGCTACCCCTGAGGTTCCTACTCAACCAGGAGACAAAAGTGCTCAGAAGGGTGAGCATAGCTCCCATGGAGATCACCCACTGTAGCCATCAAAGAAGCTAAGGCCCAGAAACATTAGGAAAAGTTGCCACAGTCACAGAGCAAGTTACTGGCAGTCACCACAAGGCTCTGCGTCTCCTGACCCATCTTTGGTTTTTCCCACTGTACCAGAAAGGAGATTTGGTTTCATGATCAGCAACCTCTGGAGTTACCCTTTAAGAACTTTTCACGTAGAAAGTAAACCAGCCATGCTTTGAGAAGCAGTTACAGTCATAAACTTATATTTTAATTCTCTTTCTGTACATACTGGCAATGACAAAGCTTAAAGATGCATGTCCTATGAAATATGCAAAAACAAGGAATTTACATAAATAATTTATACTTCAGAAAACTGAAAAATATTTTCCACATCATTAGAGTTCACAGTATTTAAAGTCAATTGAGCTTTTCCCCTTAGATTTCAAACTATATTGTCTCAGCAGAGAATGATAAAATCTAATCAGGAATACAATGATCAAGTTTCTGTGTTTTATTCAGTGCAGAGTAGACACTATTTCAGTATCAGGCTGCTCAAGTGTGGAGGCCTCGGCACTTCGTCCCAATACTTCACCTCCTGAGTGGCTGTGACCCAGCAGAGATCACACGGCGTGGAACGGCTACAGCGTGATCTAAACCACTCCACAATGGACACATTCAACCAAGTGGTAATGTCCGTGCTCTGATGCCTCATTTCCACGTAATACTTTTGATAGCCCTGAAAATGGAAACCCTGGCATCTAAAGACA